TTGGGCTCCATGATCACTGCAGATGGTGACAGCAGCCATGAAATTAAAAGATGCATGCTTCTTGGGAGGAAAGTGATGAGAAACCTAGACAACATCTTAAAAAGCAGAGACATTACCTGCTGACAAAGGTCTGCATAGTCAAAGCTATGGTTTTTCCAGTAGTGATGTACGGAAGTGAGAGCTGGACCATAAAGAAGGCTGACTGCCGAAGAATTGATGCTTTTGAACTATGGTTCTGGAGGAGTGTAACAGGCAGCCCTAACCTCACCTCTCCGTCACAGATGGGCAGTGGATCATCAGCCAATGGGGTGACGGAGGGGGAAGCTGGAGAGGGAGGAGCTGGAATAAAAAGGGGTGTGAAGAGGGTGTGAAAAAAGAGATCTGGTGTGTGAGGGAGAAAGAGCTTGTTTAGAGGCCTGTGTGCCTGGATAGTCAGTGAGGGAAAGTCTGTGATTAATTAAATAAGAAGCAGTGATTGACATTGTGATTAGCTACTTGTGATTTTCATATTTTATTTTGTTATCAATAAACCAGTTTTGTTTTGAAGGAAACTTTTGTCCTTCTTAAGTGGTCTTTACAATTGGTGGCAGCGAGAGTGTGAAGTAATGTGGTGGGCATTCTGAGAGGTCTGAGTTGGCAGGGACATCAGAGTGGCCAGCCACACCACAAGGAGACTCCTGAGAGTCCCCTGGACTGCAAAGAGAACAAACCTATCCAGGACATCAACCCTGAGTGCTCACTGGAAGGACAGATCCTGAACCTGAGGCTCCAATACTTTGTCCATCTCATGAGAAGAGAAGCCTTCTTGAAAAAGACCCTGATGTTGGGAAAATGTGAAGGCAAGAGGAGAAGGGGATGATATAGAACGAGATGGCTGGACGGTATCATCAAAGCTACCACCATGAATTTGACTAAACTCCTAAATTTTAATTGGTACACGCTTAGACCATAAGAAGAACCGTAGCAGCTTATTAGCTAGCTAAAGATGCAATCAGATACAGTAGTAACATCAAAATTGCACTGGATCATGGTGGAAAAAGTCACCTCCATGGTGCAATCTTAGGTCTCAATCATACCAGCCCACTCCAAAAAAGAGCAGTCCTGCTGCTAGACAGGGCACAGTGCAGGGTCAATGTGGTTTGTGATCTGCAGTATGTTGTCTAGTGGCTGGTGAATAGAGTGAACCAGACCATGCTGTCAGCACTCCAAAATGCGATCTAAATTGTCAGATTGCACCCTAAGTTTCAGACAGGTAGCCATGTTAGTTGTTTTTTTAATAGAACAGGCATGACTCTGACTCCTATACGTTTTGCTCACAATATCTTAAGTGTTTTAGGTTTTCCCTGTGATTAATTTGTTCTAATATTTTTTGTTTGTACTTCGTAAAACATCTCATATTGTTGGATTAATCCACAGTCAAATGGCACTGCAGTTCCCAGCTCCTTATTTCACTGGATCCATTGTTGGTACGTAATGTCAAGTTGCTTCCAGTTTATTACAACCCTATGAATTAGTTATCTCTAAAACGTATTCATCATCATCATCATTATCGTAGAACTGCAGATTTGGAAGGGACCCTATGGATCATCAAGTCCCTCCCTGTTCTGGAAGGGACCCTATGGAGCATCAAGTCCCTCCCTGTTCAGCCGGCCCAATGGGGAATTGAACTCCAAGCCTCCAGCTCCACAGTCAAATGCGTAAACCACTGAATTGAACTCCCAGCCTCCAGCTCCACAGTCAAATACGTAAACCACTGAGCTATCCATGGATCTCAGATATTTCATTAACAATGTCATTGTCCCAGTTTTTAAATTTTAAAAGCAAATAAATTCCAGGCCTCCCAGAGCCCAAGATATCCAACAAAAAGTTCAGACAACTGTCTAATTTTGGGAGAAATAAATTTGTTCCCACTTGTTAATGGGTTTGATAAATGAAATCACAATCCTAATCTAAATTGTGTAAGCAGTGTTCATCATTGTGATAAAAACAAAGTGACCTGTGTCCTCAGAAGGGATTTCAGAACCATTTTATCTCCCAGCCTCTGCTTCTGTAATGTAAGGATAATAATATTAATTGTACTAATTATGATAACAGTTACAGAACGATAATGTGTACAGTATTTTAATTTAAAATAAAAATAGTATTCAGTGGCCTTGCTCTCTTAGGGATCATTGGGATCAAACTTTTAGGGATCAGAATGCTTTTTTATGGTTCTCCCTCTAAATGATATCATTACTGAGTAAAATTTCAGAATTAGTTAGATAAGAATAAGTTATGTGAGCACTCAAAAAACCTTTCAGGATTGAATTTAATAAATCTTCCCCATAACAATATAAATGTCTGGCTACTGACTTTTAAAAACATTTTAGAACCCATAATTGACTGGATACTGACCACAGTACTGACCACTGACCCACCTACTTGGAAGTCAATCCCATTAAATCAGGCAGAATCCAAAGAAACAAAACAGAAGTCAACTATATGTGGCACTTTAAAGATTATATTTTTATGTAAACTTTCGTGGACATGTCCACTTCGTCCTATGATGTGTCCCTATGTCTGATGAAGCGGAGTGTCCGCGAAAGCTCACATTAAAATATCATAGTCTTGGAGGTGCCACATGTTTTGTCTTTGTTTTCTTTTTTCTTTGAATTTTGCTTGATGTGCTTGCACTGTCTAACACGGCCACCTCTTCTAATCCCATTCAACTGAACGGGACTTACTTTTGAGTAGCTATGTACTGAATGGTACCGTTCGACAATGGATTTTTACCGGGGAGAGTGATGGGGAAGTGCATTAGGAGCCATCAAAAGGAACCCGACCCCGGTTCTTCCAAGAGTAACTGTCAACCTAACGAGAAGGGCTGAACACTTTGAAACGCGCTTGCGCGCAACGTAAAAAACACTGAAAATACTTCTCGCCGCCGCCACCACTTTTCAAGGGAAATGTCTCACGCATGCGTTCTTCCGGCTTAGAGCGGCCGGAGAACTTATTTCGCACGGCAGGGAATGTTGTTACGGCGCGTGCGCGTTGTGCGGAATGGCAATAGAGCTCCATAGCGTGACATTTCTGGCGCAGCCGGAAGTGTCCGAAGATTGCTGAACGGAGCGTCCCATTTGTCTCTCCCTTCACCCACTGCGGACACCATGGAGCCGGGAGCTTGAGGGCGGAGCTGGTGCTTTTACCCCAGACATGCTAGCCGGTCCCCTCGGTGAAGGTAAGCGCGATGGGTCCGCTGCTTCCTCCCCCCCCCCACTCGCCTCACAGAAGCCGTTGCCCGCTTTCTTCTTCGCTGGGCCGCCGGCCCGCGCTGCCTCACCCGCTCTGACCTCTGTGCTCCCTTCCTTTTCCTCTCTCCCAGGACTGGAGGGAGGCCTGGACGAGGGATCGCGGGTCGGCTTTCCGTGAGGAGAAGAGAGGACGGGGCGGTTGAAGGAAGCGGCCGTAGCGTCCCCTCCACCCCAGCCCCCTCCAGGCTTTGCCTCCTCACAGGGTTGCGACAACCAGCGTGGTTGTGTGTGCGCGCGCGCGTGTACATATATCTGTATACACACACACACACACCAGGCCAGGAAGCGAGTCTTTCCTGGTTGTGCGGGGTGGGGCTGCTGTGAGGAGAAAGTGCTCCCTGCGGGGGGAGGTTAAGGGTGCCGGTGGCGCTTCCCGAGAGAGGTCTGTCAGGGCACCCCCAGGATGCCTAGGCAAAGCTAGGCCACGGCGGGGGTTAAACCCTTTCTTATTCCGCGATCACGGCCACCCGGATAACCTTCCTGCCGCTACAGCCCGAGTTCACGATTGAGCCTGAATCAGTTTTAACCGTTGCCTCTTGCCGTAAACAATAGAGCGGAGGCTGACCTGAAAAAAAAAGCAAACTCTCTTGATGTAAGTTGTTCGCTAACTCAAAAGCCCTCCTTAACATTATAAGATGAGCAGCCGGACGTATATCGCTGTGTGTTTATGTAGGGATGCTGACATTTACTTTTTTTAAAAAAAAGGCTGGTGGAAAGTACAGTGGCTGGGAGAGGGACAACTGTGGATCAAGAAGTCACTACGTTGGAAGTTCTTGACTATGAACTTATCTGTTGATACATCAGTCCCTGCTCTCTTTTGTGAAAAGCAAATAAAAGAATAGTGACATTGATCTGTTACACTGATCTTGTACAGGTTGCAATGATAGAATGTGTAAGAAACACTCTAAACACTATCCTGTAGAAATATCAGATATGATTCCTGTGTGGGACAGCAATTATTTTTTCCTTTAAATTAATTGAACATTATTACCCACTGGACTGCCTTGGTGGCTGGTGCTGTCCAGGAATCTGTAAGTTGTGTGTAATCAATTTGCTTTCAACTTATGTGAAACTGATTTTTCTCTAGATTGGTCCTATCGTTAACAGTCCTACACAGGTTTTGCAAACTAAAGGCTGTGTCTTCCTATATTGAGTCAATCCCTTGTAAATCTCTCCAACAACACCACATTTCAAATGAATCAATTCTTTTACTGTCCAACTTTCACATTGAACTTTGTAATTCGGAATACCATAGTATGGAAAATTTTGGCCTTGCCTCCAGCAGAACCTGTAACTAGAGGACCTTTTCTAGCTTCTTCATAGCTATCCTTCCAAATTGCAGACATGTTTTGATTTCTGAGTTGTAGCCTCAATTTAGAGGGATCATTGGGATAAGGTATGGAAAATCTTTAAGTACGTACGTATTTAGATTTCTTCACTGTCAACATTAGAAACTACCGTATGTCATTCTTCTCTAGTCATTCAGGCACTTATATCCTCTGGAATAGAGCAGGCAAAACAAATAGTCAAGCAAAGAATAGAGGACAATGAATATCATACAGACCTCTCTAGCTTTCAAAACATGACAGTAAGGAGTTACCTCAAAAACTGTATGGAACCGGCCAAATACTTAAAATCTCTGGAAATTAAAGGAACTAGAGGAGCCTTTACCTTGGCAACGTGTCTGGTCCTCCCCTCTGCTGAACTAGAAAGAAAGTAAAAAAATACTCCTTTTGCTGAAAGGTTATATTCCTGCCCGTTGAGGGAGATCGAGACCATAGAGCATATTTTTTCACCTGCCCATTGTATGACATGGCACACAAAGAGACTATTACCCCCCCCCCCATGGAAAGAATCGCAGGACATTCAGAGAGATACAGGCTTGAGTTCCTTCTCTTGGATGTTGATACACAGATCACCTGTCAAGTCGCCAAATTCTGTGCAGCAATACTTCAGTTGTGGAAGCCAAACTCCAACTAGATAGTAGCTCCCAGTTGTATGGATGCTAACATGTGCTAATGGAATAGTGAAAGTTAGAAATTATAAAGTTTTATACATATGTGATTGGTCTAAGGACTGTAAATAAACTTACTCTAGTCATTTTTTTTGTGGTCCTAATGTTCAACTATAATCCTTTTGCACCTTCCTCTTTAGCCTTCCTTTCCTCAATGCAATTTTCTGCCGTTTTCTTTTCCATTATATCTAATCTGTCTTTTTGTATGTTATGAACTGCATACTGATTGGACAGATGGGAAGATAAAATACATCTTTGTATGACTTCTTTGCCAATTGGAAATCATTCTCTTTCTCTATATTCTGCCCTAATAATAGCCTTATCCAGGCTATAAGTTATTTATCAGGACAATAAAGCACTGGGGCAAAACCATTTCTTTCAAAATGATCCAGAGCTCTTCATGATCCATGCATCCAAAGGTTTTGCTGTAACAGATGACCAAAATCCTCTTCCACAAACTTATGTAGGGTGGGACAAATGATATTACTTGCAGTGTCATAATTGCAGCAAGGACTCCAATTGGCAGCTGCTTATGAAAGAGTTTCCCACCTGGATTTCAGTTCATGCTGCTGCAGGTGATATCATGTGCTGTATGCCACATATGTTTGCACAGGAAGATTTTAGCCTAAAAACCACAAATTGATTTTCTTCTGAAAATTTTCGTTGTGCTTCAGTGGCCAAAATATATTTCTTTTCTTGTCACTTATGCCTTTTCCTTTTCTGAATCCAGCTTGACCCTTGGGAATTTCTCACTTCATATATGAGAAAAATTTTTGTTGAACATAACTTGCTTGCATGGGAAATTAATGGCATGCTATATTTACTACACTCGTTTACATCTCTTTTCTTTGGGATTGGAATGTGCATTCACTGGTTCCAGCCCATGGGTGATTGTTTTGTTTTCTGTACTTGTTGTCAATTTATATACTCTTATTAGGATTTTAATAGACCCAGCCTATAGCTTGGAAAAGTTCTGTCGTGTCCCATCTATTCTTGATTATCTTTTTCTTTGGGTGCTTTGAAAACAGCATTCACTTTGCTTTTTACAGTTGCAGGTTCTTCTTCAAAACATTCTTTTTGAAGGAGTCTGTCAACCTTGCATCTCTTCTGTATAGTCCTTTGACACATTATTTTCATTCTGCTTGTATTTGGTCCTGATCAGGGAATGTATTCCCCTGGTGATCCGTTGGTACCAGTAATCCAAATTTAAATTTCTTTGATTTCTCAGAGTTTATAGATGAGATCCTTGGTTTTTTTTTTCCTTTTTATTGTTTCCTTCTATTTTTTGCAATAATAATTATTATCGTTCTCTTTGTCCCTGTATGAAAGTGGCTGAAAAGTTCCATTTAGAATTCTAACCATTTTTCTTTAACTCTTGCTTCTCATCTTTCATTAATACTGTAATTTAAAGATTTTTCTCAGTCATCCACTGAAGGTTTTATTTTCTTTGGACTACAGAAGTGTTCTTTTCATATTGCCCCCTGTTAGCATCTGTGATTTCAGATCTCAGATCTTCTGGTTTGCTAACTGATTTAAGTAATGCAAATTTGTTATTTACATTGTCTTTCAAGAATATTATTTTAATTATATTTCACACTATGATTATTTTAGTGTTATTGAGCTTTACCCTAATTTTTGATGTTAACAGTTTATGTTCTGTGCCACAGTCCTCTCCTGTTCTTGCTTTTTCAGAGAGAATACAACTTCTCATCTTCTTTCAATTGTGCAGTCTTCTTGATTTCTATAATAGCCATGTGGTGACATTTTTGTATACAAATATCTGTTCAGTGCATGAAGCTCATATTTGCAGGCTTTGCAGAAGTCTGAGGTATTCTCTTGTTTTGTCTTATTCCTACACCAGATTCTCTTAAAGTTGATTGGTTTTGCTTTATCTCCTACTTTTGCATTCCATTCACCTATGATAATCACCACATTGTATTTTGATTGTGATCATTGTTTTCATGGATACTAGCAGAAGCACTTTCAATTTAAGTTTCTTCTTCTCCAGCATCTGTAGACAGAGCATAGATTTAAATAATAGTTGTGTTTATAGGCTTTCCATGAAGTTATTCATGGAGAGTATTCATTTGGACTTTATGTTACAGACCCCCAAAGCTTGTGGTATATCTTGCTTTACTATTAGAATCACCCCCCCCAAGCCCCCCACACTTTTAGAATATGTATCCAAAGTATGCAAGTGTTTTAGTGGTCCAACTTCCACTATCATGGCCACTCATTAGGCACTGTGGGAGTTATAACTCAGAATACGTGAAGGATACCAGTTTGGGAAATATTGTGCTAGGGGACAGCTTTGTCTTCTGATTGAGTCTGTTTATTGGCTGCCTTTCTCCTCACTTGTGCTGAAAATCTAAGTTGAAGGCCTAGCTTCTTTTGAAAATAAGAGAAATGAGTTACTGATAGAATTTTGTAGTGTTTTGTTACATGTGAGGCAAGCAGCAAGATTCAGTGGTCATCGATTTTTCCAGATTAAATTGTTTTATCTGTTTCAATGAGGTTACTGTTCTTTCTAAGAGCAGTTAACACTGTTGATTTGACATAATTTAGAGAAGAGACAGCTTGTGGAAGTACACCTACTTAAAAGTACATACTAGAAAGAACATGGCACAGGAGAGCAACTCTGGACTATATGAGGATCCCTAAATATAATACTGCCGTGTGTGTGTGTGTGTGTGTGTGTGTATTGTGTTTGGATGTTGTTGAAGAGTCTGTTTAAATTCTATCACAATTTATTGTAGATATATAGTGCAGTATTAACTTTCAGGGCTTGTACAACATGTACAACATGTGTAATCTAGTTTATGCTAGATTCATCTTTTTTATTTGACAATATTTTCTGAAATACAATTAACTGAGTCAGAGTTGTTTGAGAGGGAATTATTGCTCAATAGAAAT